TTTATCCCTCTGGCTGCCAGGAAGCCAAGGGATACAGTTAAAAAAAAAACACTAAACTTAGTAAACATTTTTGCCAAATTGTTGGCATAATTGCTACAGTCCATGGTTTTATAACGCTTATGATACCTACCTTAACAAACAGTTTGTACTTGTGACTTTCAAACACTTCAAATCCTTTCTTGAAAGCAGGTGAGGTATTACTTAAAATTATCACTGCTAATTAAGACATCAAAGAGCATCTGATAAATACGTAAATTTGCTAAGAGGTGATTATTTTATTTTATTTTTATTTACATTTTTGAGACAGAGTCTTACTCTGCCCCCCAGGCTACAGTGCAATGGCATGATCTCCACTCACTGTAACCTCTGCCTCCTAGGTTCGACAATTCTTCTGCCTCGGCCTCCCAAGTAGCTGGGACTACAGGCTTGCGCCACTACGCCCAGCAAATTTTTGTATTTTTAGTAAAGAGGGGGTTTCACCACATTGTCCAGGCTGGTCTCAAACTCGTGACCTCAGGTGATCTGCCTGCCTCGGCCTCCTAAAGTGCTGGGATCACAGGTGTGAGCCACCGCACCCAGCCAAGGTGGTTATTTAAAAATATATATATATTCTAACATCACAAAAGGCTTGAATAATAACTCTTTATAAATCACTTATCAAACAAAAAATAAAAATAAACAAAAATAACTTATCAGCTTACCACCCAATACAATCGCTAGTACCATTTTTGTTATTATATCAGTTAATAATCAAACAGCAGCTCAGCTATTTCCCAAAGCCAAACATTTTAAAATTAAAAGTTACCCTCACCATAGAAGGATGTTTGTTATAAGGCATCTATCTAATAAGTTGAAAAGGTTATTTACTATTTTTAAAAGGTGGTGCTTTTGAAAAAATCTTACAAAAACAAAATAAAAGTAGAGAAACTTAAAAAATAAATAAATAAAATAATGTAGTAGTGTAAGTAAACTAGGTAGGACACTGCCTTGTTTTACTATGCATAATTCTAATTTCACTTATTAAGACCAATCTTTCTCTATAGTAGTACTATAACATACAGACTTTGGCAAAGTCTTAAAAAGTCTATGAGTTGCACTCCAATTATAGAGCTTGGTTCAACAAGTCCTCTAAAAATCTTAACCTTATTCTTATGGTTTCTTCTAAGTCTAAGTTATGGCAGTGATTGAGAAAAACACTTGTGCCTAAAACCTGTTTGCTCCTAACACAGTCTATTATGTGGAAAAACCTAGTTCAGCAATTTAGAGAGTAATACTCCTTGTTCTCTCCCTCTAGTTAATGGAGTGTTCTCCAAATGGCTTTGGGCCAATCATTCTCTCAGCTGTTCTGGTGAGGCAAGAGGACTAGCTACGTCTATCTGATGAGTGAGAAAACTAACTTCTCTTTGCCCTTTCTTTAAGATCAGGCATAAGTATATCCAACAAACATGGAATGTCAACAAACACCAAAAGTGAATCTAAAAAAGTGGATAGTATTTTTTTTTTTTTTTTGAGACAGAAATTTGCTCTGTTGTCCAGGCTGGAGTGCTGTGGCGCAATCTTGGCTCACTGCAGCCTCCGCCTCCTGGGTTCAAGTGATTCTCCTGCCTCAGCCTCCTAAGTAGCTGGAACCAGGCACACACCACCACACTCGGCTAATTTTTATATTTTTAGTAGAGATGGAGTTTCACCATGTTGGCCAGGATGGTCTCGATCTCCTGACCTTGTGATCCACCAGCCTCGGCCTCCCAAAATGCTGGGATTAGAGGCATGAGCCACCACACCCGACTGTTGATAGTATTCTTAAAATAATCTGAAGAATTTAGATTATGGAGACATTGGCATGTGCAAAATACATGGGATTAACTAACCACAAGCAGAAGACACAGTTTTCAAGAAAATCCTAGGCAACCAAAGATCAAGTCTTCATTCTCTCAGCCAATACAGAGTAACCAAATAAACCGAAATTACGTATCAATATTGAAGAGAATAGAGTCAACATTTGAGTATATCTACCTTTGTAAAGCCAGGTAATCGATGTTGTCAGCAAAAATTAAAAGAACAATAATACCCAGAGCTGGGCAAGTTACTCTGCATCTTTTTGTAGCTCCCTTCTCTATAAAATAGAGATAGTAAAAGTTATTCCTCATGACAGTTTTGAAGGGATTAAACACAATGTATACTAAATGCTTAGAATGGAAACTAGCACATTTTAGGCATTCACTATACATTAAATATGGCTGGGCGAGGTGGCTCACGCCTGTAATCCCAGCACTTTGGGAGGCCAAGGCGGATCGAGACCATTGTGGCCAACATGGTGAAACCCCGCCTCTACTAAAAATACAAAAAAGTTAGCTGGATGTGGTGGCGCATGCCTGTAGTTCCAGCTACTTGGGAGGCTGAGGCAGGAGAATTGCTTGAACCCAGGAGGCCTCAGTGAGCCAAGATCACGCCACTGCACTACAGCCTGCATGACAGAGCAAGACACCATCTCAAAATAAATAACTAGATGGCCAAGGATGATCCTTATTTTAGAAGAAAAGCTACTCTGCTTAAGAGAGCATCAACCCCTGAGATTCTGCCAAATTGTGATAATAGCAAAATTGTTTTATTTGAGAATAGGCTCGGTAGTTCCCCAACTGATGACACACAGCACTTATTGAGTTGCCTTGTCCATGACCTTTTGATCCCAAGAGTCACCTGGGGGAGCAGCTATAGGAAGCAGTTATCATTTCTTCAGTATAGGAAAAACAAAAATGGGGGGAACTCCATAAAAAAACATATGTGATTCTGTTCAATGAAGGTTTCAGAATATCTAGGAACCAAGAAGCTAATGATTAAGCCAGAAACAAGGAAATCTAACCAGTCAGCAATTATCCATGTTGGACTTAATAGAAATCAATCAGTAGAAAACTAAGTTGTCCTCCCCCTCTCCTCTCCCCCAATGTAGCCTCAGGTTCTGGGGTGTTGCATTATGCAGAGAGCAGAAGGATTAACACAAGGAGAAAATAAAGCTTTCATGCCTTCATATTTTTCCTACACGCATAGGAAAAGGATTAAATATCCACAGAGCCACAGAAAACCTCTAAATGAAAAACATTCTTGTCTCCTAGCTGTATTGCCAATCACAAAGTCTAGTCCTGTTTTGTATTCTTTATTAAGGTCCATGAGCCATAATGCTTTGGAAAAATCTAAAGACAGCAGCTTGTAAGCCTCTTTTAACTAAGGTATTGCCTGGTTACAGATGGCAGTGTTTACACTATCATTTGCATCACAATCAGTAGCACAATAATTGTAAGAAGCTGTCCATTATAGAAGACATTATTTTATGAGCTGGGTCTAAAAGAGATAAGGGGAGTTACACTTGGAAATCAGTCCAAAGAAGGCAAAAAAGCAAAAGCATTTAGGAAAAACTATTTGAGATATTCTTACTTGATTATTAGGTGAAAACTTTCCCTTTAACAGATCTGTAGGATTGTAGGCAGGGCTCTAATTTAATCGATAGGGCAACAACAAAATACAAATTACACCTATCAGAAACTGAAGATCCCACATGTAGGTGGAAGAGGCACTGAAATAATCAGGAAACCAAGTTCTCTCTAAAACAGTCCGCTGGTGCCGGCAGAGGGGGTAAGTCGGGACAGGAAGCAAGTTTTACAGGCAAGGCAATGGAAAAAAAGCAAGTTGCAATACACTGTCCAATCCTGGTCTTCCACTACATTACCTGTCCTCAATTATCTTTGACATTCAGGTATAAAATTGTTTCCTAAATTCCCTACACAGAGCTTAAAGAAGTAGCCAAGTCCAATGGACTCGGTTACTGAAAAATACGCTTTTGCATGATCTGTACCACTAGCTGCACTGGGGAAGGTCAAAGATTCCAGAATTGAGGTTTCCTAGATTTTCTGGATGGCTCAAGCCGAGATGCTGACTATCAAGGATGCAGAGTCAACGCATCACTTTAACCAATTAGATTTTTATGCCTCTGATTACTCAAGTAGATGATTCATAAGATGAGAAAAGCCAACGCTTGCTGATCTAAGGGAAGTCGTGATAATTTTGGCGCCTGCAGTACGTAATGTCAATTTCCCTCAACACCAAGCCGGACGGACCAACACCATTTCTAATTAAGAAGCTGCTTCTTGGTCTCTAGGAGAAGAAAGACCAGGAGAGCTCAGTACGCAGGTAGGCTCTCTAAATGCAAGCTAGTCCAAGAGCTGAAGCCACCCAGTCCAGCCTGGGCGGCTCAACAGCAAAGCCAAGCCACGTGTCCCTACCGCCGAAGCTAAGCGTCGGTCCCGTCTCGGCGCTCTACGCAGTCGCTATCTATTGGGTCCCCCAGCCCTCGCCCTCAAATGCAGAAGCTTCGCCTCATGCTCCATCTTTTGACTCCACCCCACTGCACGGTAAGAATGAACGTGACCCTCCCGCGTGAGGCAAAATAACGGAAACACACCGTGGGGTAGGCTAGCCACAGAGCTGCACCCTCTCCCCCATCCCCCAGTCTGTTTGAGCTCCAGCGGCGACCCCATCCCTCCTATTCTCCACTGCCTGAGCAGGTGAGGTCTAGTCGGGGTCCCAACACGGTCCTTACCAGGTCTCCTGGTTGCTGAATTTCTTCGTCACCACCTTGCCTAGCTCCAGGCCCAGGCGGTCAGCAATTTTCTGAGATAAGTCTTGGTGGGAGCTGCCGCTGAAGATTTTGATATTCGGCATCCTGGCCAACTAACTACCCTAAGCCCTCCGCTAAGCGATCGCTGCTGCTGCAGAGACCGGAACCGAAGTCGGCCTGAGACTCAATACCAAGCGCTTTGCGTTGCTACTCCGCCATCTTACATTCCCGCCCGGCGCGCGGCTCTAAATTACCCAGAGCCGCGGAGGTGGGGCCAGCAGAGAAGTCCACACCCCGCCAGCAACGATTAGCTGAGAGGGAGCGAAGGGAGGGGTGTGGTCCTCGCTGTAGATCCGCCTCCTTCCGATCCTCTCAGGTATTGGCTGAAGAGCTTGGACGGGGGCGAGACTAACCCATAGCCCGGCCCCCTATAGCTAGGCGGTCGGGGACTGGAGACGTTGGACCGGGGGTGGAGGGATGCTGGTGACGTCTGGGGCAGATCGTTCCCGCTAGAGGAAATTAACCATGCCTGCATTTTTTTATTTCCCCTCCCTCAGCGCAAGAAAGTAAGTCTGGCTCTGGTTTATAGTTTCCTTTAAGAAGATCTGTTTATCAGGATGACAGCCACGAGTTTGTATGTTCTCAACACATTTTTTATCTCTTTATAAGGATGGGGCTGAATTAAAACACTTTTACATCACAGACGTGCATCCAAAGGGTTTGCTTGCCCATTGTAATTGCAGTGTAACCTTTGCCTGCAAGACAGTTTCCAAGGGGGAAGTGACTGAAGACATGTCACCTGAATCATCCAAGAGACACTGCAAGAGAAAGTTGTTTTGTTTCTAGTGCTGGAACCAAGTATATTGAAACAAGCGAAGGAGGATGGATTTTCCAAACTATCTGGACAATAAAAGTCTGGCTTTTATAGCCCTTGGAAAGGAAAGAAAATATGCTGTGCTATGTGACTTCAGATAAAGAGCCTTGAAAGGATTAAAAAAAAACCAACACCCTGGGTTTTAGTCCTTTCTGCCTCATGTAAGCCTCAGTGTCATCATCTACATGTTGCTAATGTGGCCTTTTACACCATGTTTTATTATTTTTATAGTGATACTTGTTCATTGGACCTAAGTGAGCCTTTATTCTTGCACCACGTTTCCATTAAGCATATTTCAAGAATGAGTTAGAAGTAAGATAAAAATAATACAATTCGGGAATCAAAAGTGACCATAGTGCTCATAACTATCAAATGTAAAAATAGAAGGGACCTCAGAGATCATATAGTCATTTTACATATGATAAAACTGAGATGGAGTTGGGGGAGGGATTTGTCTAAGTGGCAAAGGCAGAAAATACTCAAAGCAGCATCTTATCTTTGTCTTACTGCCATTTTCAGCAGTGTCCATGGTACACTTCTCCTTCTGACTTTTTGTTGCACGTTTACAAGCTCAGAAATGTAATGTAGGCCCTTGTGTATAGGAATACTCAGAGAAGTAAGTAAGCTTCAAGGCAGAATATTAGTAGTCTTCCATCATAGGTCATTCATCAAATATTTACTGAGTGTTCTATTGCATACTAGGCATTGAGTGCTAGGCATTGAGGGGAATATAAGGTATTTGGCTCAAGGGATTTGTTTATTCAAGAAATATTTACTGAACATTGTTTATGTGCTAGGCCCTGTTTAGTGGCACAAGAATACAGTAGTAAACTCTCTTATGGAGTTTACATTCTTAAACAATAAACATTTAATAAGCAAAATACATAGTATGTCAAATGGCAAGAAGTGCTGTGGAAAAAAAATCAGGCAAGGAAAATGGGATAATGTGCCAGAGTGTAGAGGACAGAAGTACAATTTTAAGTAGGGTTGTCAGAGAAGACCTGTCTGGGAACGTAACATTTGGGCAAAGACCTGAAGGAGAAAAAAAAAAAATGAGCCATGTTGATATCTTGATAAGCGAAGAGAACAGCAAGAGCAAATACCCTAAGGCGGAAGTATCTAGCTTGTTTGAAGAATACCAATGTGGGGTGAGTGTTGTGGGGTGGAGGTGGAATGTGTCTATAAGAGAAAAGGTGGAAAGCGAGGTCAATGAGATAAGAATGATTAGAGGCCGGCAGGTCGCAGTGGCTCACACCTGTAATCCCACCACTTTGGGAGGCTGAGGTGAACCGATCACTTGAGTTCAGGAGTTCAAGACCAGCCTGGGCAACGTGGTGAAACCCCATCTCTACAAATATACAAAAATTAGCCGGACGTGGTGGTGGGCACCTGTAGTCCCAGCTACTCTGCAGGCTGAGGCAGGAGAATCGCTTGAACCCGGGAGGTGGAGGTTGCAGTGAGCTGAGATCGTGCCACTGCACTCCAGCCTGGGTGACAGAGTGGGACCCTGTCTCCAAAAAAAAGACAACAAAAAAAGTGATTGTGGTGAGAGTGCTGATCATGCAGAACTTACAAGTTATTTTGGGGGTTTTGCTTTTACTGAGTAACAATTTTTAGCACAAAGTGACATAATCTAACTTATATTTTAAAAAGATCACCCCAGCTACCGAGAACAGAGTGTAGGAGGCAATATAGGATGCAGGAAGACCAATTAGTAGTTAACTTCCAAAGGGAGGTAATAAGACATTTATACATATAATGACAAAGCACAGGCAATGTAATACATTACCATAGAAAAGACTGTGTTTGGATAATGTAGAGGCTGCTGTAACAAGGAGACTCTAAAATACAACGGTTCTAATGAGACAAATTATTTCTCTCTTGCATAACAGGCTGGCTGGTCTAGGCCAGTGGGATGATTCTGCTCCATGCTAGATCATGGACACATCCACATTCTAGCTCAGAGAAGAGGCCTAGGCAAGGGATTTCCTTTTAAGCAAGTGAGATGAAATTTGTCCCTCCCACTTTCTCTCGCATCCCTTTGGCAAGAACTCAGTCACAATTCACACCTAACTGCAAAAAAGACTAGGAAATGTTTTGTTAGGTGGCCCCGCTCCCAGAAAGAAGAGACAGTGAATTTTGGAGATGCAACTACGCCGGGCGCGGTGGCTCAAGCCTGTGATCCCAGCACTTTGGGAGGCCGAGACGGGTGGATCACGAGGTCAAGAGATCGAGGCCATCCTGGTCAACATGGTGAAACCCCGTCTCTACTAAAAAATACAAAAAAATCAGCTGGGCATGGTGGCGCGTGCCTGTAATCCCAGCTACTCAGGAGGCTGAGGCGGGAGAATTGCCTGAACCCAGGAGGCGGAGGTTGCGGTGAGCCGAGATCCCGCCATTGCACTCCAGCCTGGGTAACAAGAGTGAAACTCCGTCTCAAAAAAATAAATAAATAAAAATAAAAATAAAATGGAGATGCAACTAGAAGTCTCCCATAAGGCCCAAACAAAATGCTCTGCAGGTCCACAGGTAGAAGATATCACCTCTACATGGAGCATCCTGGGAGGTATTTTTGAAGGTAGAAGCACATGAACTATGCGTTGATGGATGAGTAGAGTTTTGACAGGCAATGACTGGGAGGAGGTGGATCTCCCAGGCAGGAAGAAAAGATGAGGAAGCAGAGAGAGGTTTTGAAGAAAAGAAAATAGCTTAGTTTGGCTGGAATATCAAGTACCATATTGGGACTCCACTCAGCAGGCAATAGGAAGCCATTGACTGTTCTGGAGTAAGAGCATGATGTGATCATACCTGTGCTTTAGGTAAATTTTTCTATGTAGGGTGAAGAATAGGGAAGAGATTGGAGGCAGGCAAATCAGATTGGGAGAGCAAGTTAGTAACGTCATTAACTATGCCAGTAGTGGTAGGGTTTAAGAAGAAGAATGGTAAAGACATTGTGAATCTCAACCTTTTAGAAACCCCTTTGAGAACTTTATGACCACAATACATCCTCTCTTCAGATACAAGTATTCCTCATTTTATTGCACTTTGCTTTATTGCGCTTTGTAGATACTGTATTTTTTTACAGCTTGAAGGTTTATGGCAACCCTCTATTGAGCAAGCTTATTGATGCCATTTTTCCAAGAGTATGTGTTCATTTTGTGATTCTTTGTCACATTTTGGTAATTCTTGCAATATTTCAAGCTTTATTATTTGGGATGCCATGAACCATGCCTGTATAAGACAGAGAACTTACTTGACAAATGTTGTGTGTGTTATGTGTTCTGACTGTTCACTGACCAGTCATTCCCCCACTTCTCTTTCTCTCCTCATGCCTTCTTATTTTCTGAGAGACAACACTATTGAAATTAGGCCAGTTAATAACCCTGCTATGCCCTCTAAGTGAAAAGGAAGTGTTGCACGTCTCTCACTTTAAATCAAAAGCGAAAAATGATTAACTGAGTGAGGAAGATGTATCAAAAGCTGAGACAGGCTGAAAGCTAGGTCTCTTGTGCCAGTAAACCAAGCTGTGAATGCAAAGGAAAAGTTCTTGAAGGAAATAAATAGTGCTACTCCAGTGAACACATGAATGATAAGAAAGCAAAGGAGCTCTATTGACAATACGGAGAAAGCTTGAGTGGTCTGAATAGATTAACCCAGCCACAAAATTCTCTTAAGCCAAAGCCTAACCCAGAGCAAGGCTCTAACTCTCTTTGTTTCTATGAAGGCTGAGGAGAAGTGAAGAAGTTTCAGAAGAAAAGTATGAAGAAGCTAGCAGAGATTGGTTTATGAGGTTTAAGAAAAGAAGCCATCTCTGTAACGTAAAAGTGCAAGGTGAAGCAGCAAGTGCTGATGTAGGAGCTGCAGCAAGTTCTCCAGAAGATCCAGCTAAGGTTATTGATAAAGATGGCTATACTAAACCACAGACTTTCAATGTAGGTGGTAAATGCCTTGTATTGGAAGAAAATGTCATCTAGGAAGTTCTGCTGTGGCTAAAATGTTATCAAACAGCATTTTATGCTACAGATAAATCTGTTGTGAAAGGAAGTAAATCAATGCGGCAAATTTCATTGTTGTCTGTTTTGGAAATTGTTATAGCCAATCCATCCTTCAGTAACTTCCTCCCTAATCAGTCACCAGCCCTCAATGTTGAGGCAAGATCCTCCACCAGTAAAAAAAAAAAAAAAAAAAAAAAATTACTACTTGCTAAAGACTTAGATGATCATTAGCATTTTTTAGCAATAAAGTTTTTCTTTTTTTTGAGACAGAGTCTCACTCTGTCACCCAGGCTGGAGTGCAGTAGCATGATCTTGGCTCACTGCAACCTCCACTTCTTGGGTTCAAGCGATTGTCATGCCTCAGCCACCTGAGTAGCTGCGATTGCAGGCATGCACCACCACTATTGGCTAATTTTGTATTTTTAGTACCGACAGGGTTTGGCATGTTGACCATGCTGGTCTCAAACTCCTGGCCTCGATTTGATCTGCCCAACTCAGCTTCCCGAAGTGCTAGGAATACAGGCATGAGCCACCATGCCAAGCCTACGATAAAGTATTTTTTATTTCAGGTATTGATATGGTTTGGGTACGTGTTCCCTCAAAATCACATATTGAAATGTAATCCCCAGTTGGAAATGGTCTTGGTGAGAGATACATGGGTCACAGGGGTAGATCCCTCATGAATGGCTTGGTGCTGTCTTTGCAATAGTGAGTGCAAGAAGGACAATAGTTTATTCTGAGTTCATGGGAAATTTGGTTGTTTAAAAGAGTGTGGCACTTTTCCCCTTTGTTCTCTCTCTCTCTCTTTCTCTCTCTCTCTTTGAGACTGAGTTTTGCTCTGTTGCCCAGGCTTGAGTGCAGTGGCTCGATCTTAGCTCACTGTAACCTCCGCCTCCCAGGTTTAAGCAATTCTCCTGTCTCAGCCTCCTGAGTATCTGGGACTATAAGCACCCGCCACCATGCCTGGCTAATTTTTGTATTTTTAGTAGAGACAAGGTTTTGCCATGTTGGCCAGGCTGGTCTAGAACTCCTGACCTTGTGATCTGCCCACCTTGACCTCCTAAAGTGTTGGATTACAGTTGTGAGCCACTGCGCTCCCCCCCCACCCCCGCTTTGTTCTCTTGCTTCTGTT